AAATTCAAGTCGTACCTGGCTTGGATTTTGGTGATTTGGGCTTGGTACCTAGGGTTGTTATCCCACAGAAGTTTAAAATTCCAGTATTTGCTAAATATGACGGAGTTTCGTGCCCAAAACTTCACATGTGTGTATATTTCTTCCAAAAGAGTCTGTCTGGGACTCAGCTAGAATCATTCTATCAATTGGAGGGTTTCTGCATCCACACATGGGAAGATCTAGCCACTGATTTTTATCATCAGTATCAATACAATGCCGACCTAGCACCAACCAGAGTTCAACTTCAATGTATGACAATGGGTACTAATGAGGGGATTAAAGAGTACGCACAAAAATGGAGGGATCTTGCTGGTAGGGTCCAACCACCACTAACTGACATAGAACTAGTTGACATGTTCATGGGTACATTAACTGGCCCATTTTTTAACCTATTGATTGGGAGTTCTTCGTCTGGTTTCACCGAGTTGATACTAACTGGTGAAAGGGTAGAAAGTGGCATTAAGAGTGGGAAAATTCCCATGACATCTACTTCCGCATCCAATATTGTAAAGAAGCCCTTCCGTGGAAAGAAGGAAACAAATGTTGTGTATGGGGCAAGGGCCCATACCAAGAAGGATCACCGACCCTCTGTTAATGCTGTGTTAATCTCCAACCCTCCATTTGCTCAAAGGCAATCATCCAACAATCAACGATCTGAAGTTCCTCGAAGACAGTTCACGAGGATAAGCATGTCATTGTCCCAAGTCTTACAACATATGTTGAAGGAACTTAGTGACATTGCGTGATCCACCATCCAATCCAAACATTTCATCATCTAAGTATAATCCAAATGCCAAATGCCCGTATCATTCCAACAGCCCTGGACATGAAACTGATCAATGTTGGGCTTTGAAGAATAATATTCAAGACCTAATAGACAATAAAACAATTGAATTTGATCTACCTGCTACTCCAAATGTGATAATCGCACCAATGCCAACCATGGAAAATGGGTGAAAGCCAATGATTTGGGATGAAACTGCGAGGGAGCCAAATCTAAATGGGCAAGAACTGCCACCTGAAGATCTGAGAAGGGCAGCCGAATTCCCATCTCCCTGGAAATGTATTCATACATGGGAAACCAATAAATATTGAATGGCGAACATACTCGTTCACCCTCCCTAGGGGATAATACTCTTCACGCCTCCTTGGCACCTGGCGAACTCGTTTTGCTCCCCACTGTTGTAAACGCCTCCCTGGGGAAGGAAGCAAAAAGTGAGGCTATCCCCTAGGGCTTCGGGGAAATCCACTCACGGGGCTCCGAGGTCGTCTGCTCCTCCTTGGAAGTCTCGATCTTCTCGACCATATTTTCATCCTCGGAATCAATGGCCATTTTCACCTGAAAAGTAGAGGACAAAAGTGAATTCGACGATCAAACCAAATCCACTCTTCCACTGCTAGTCGAGTGAAAAGGCGTACGGAGACACGAGAAACAATATCCTCGGGCAAATCCCTTACTCAAAAAGCAAAGCAAGGATAAGAATAAACCCTCTCGATTGGCTCAAAGCCTCCCCGACAGGATAATCCTTAAACCCTCACGAGGAGGGTCTCCCGGGCACACTACCCAGAAGTCTGTTTGAAGACTCATCAGAAACTTCATACATTCATCAGAAAGTTAATACATTCATCAGAAATTGATACACTTATCGGAAAACTCGTGAGTCTACCAGAAAAACTCATGAACTCCGACGGTGACAAGCAAGCTCTCCGCCACAACTACGGCCCCTTTTCGGCAAAACATACATATCTCGTTTTTGTCCTCACCCTCTCGTCGGTGATCGCGTCATAAAGTGGGATAACCACTGTGAAACACCAACAACCACCAGAGCAACACTCACTCTAACTAAATCCATCCTATCTACATGCATTCTAGTCAAAAGCAATGCTAAGTCTAGCTTAAAAAGAAGTGAAACAGAAAATTTACGTGGTCAGAGATATTCAAAGTTGTGCTCAAATTTTTCTGTTACAGAGGAGAACGACGACAACGACGGAAGCTTGGAGCAGAGAAAATTGAAGAAAAAGGAGAAGCGAAAAACACAAATGGCCTTCTGCTTCTCTTATTTATAGAGCGATCTCAACTAACGTGCACACACATGCACGAAGTAGGGAGACACAAGGATCATCATTAAACCCTAGCCCCTAGACAGACATCATTATGCACTTTAACTGCAACGCGTGGCTTGATGCAGGCATAATATGCAACCTTTGTAAAACCAATCAACTGTTTAGTTTCTCGTGCACCGAACACGTCAGGAAACATTTAAGTTCCTCTTTCATACTTGTCCTAGAGGAATCACAGAACGTCCCCATCTCCAGTAACTAGCACCTATAGCATGGTTCCCTCCTTGATACATGGGCTGACTCTAAGTCATTGCTCCTACGCCCATGAACAATAATTTGGAGGGCTCCTGTTCTGGTCTGGCCTAATGGCTAAGCAAGGCTCAATCCACTTCTAAGTTTAAGACAACCTAATAACCTTGGCCCAATCAATCGGGATGGATAAGGGGACACTTTTCCCTTATGCCCCTCAACAGGGGACGCATGGTCCGTTGACCTCCAGGATCAACAAGATCGTCTGCTCAAACAGGCTAGTCCTAATCCTACATGCCGCACGAGGACAACCACCCAGAAACAACCAGAATCATGCTTGCCTATGAATACTTCTCTGCTCGTTATAACGACTAATTCCGAACATCTTTGCCCGTCATAACGGCTAGTTCTTGGTAGTTATCTATTTTTGAGGAACCTCATATCCAGACCCAAAAATAGGACCAATGACCAAGCGCCGGGAGCACTATATAAATCCTCACACTTGTGAGGGTCAGGTATTCAATATCCAACATTCTACCCTAAAACCCTAAAATCTCTTGTATCTCTTTGCACCCTTACTTACTTGAACATCGGAGTGCCTTGCAGGTACACCCCTCCTCCTAAATTCCAACATCACAAACACATATATCGGCCCAATACAGGTTCTGATCACTGATAAGATCATCAGTGTAGGAGGTTGATTGGATCCTTTTGTTATTTATCCAATACACAACCAAATTTGGCTTTTAGTGTCGGTATTTAGAGTAGATTCATGGAGAGACCGAAGGTGTCTCATTTGACAGCAGCCAAAAGGATCCTAAGATACGTCAAAGAATCTATTGGTTGCAGAATTCTCTTTTCTACATCGGACACAGGCAAAAAATGCAATTTGCTCAATTTTACCAACTCCAATTCGTGCGGAGATAAAGATGATCGAAAAGTCAAATAAGCTGGAACTAAGTGATTTTCTCGAGGGTGTAACCTGTTACACATTCGCAGTAACCAATTACCATTGTTATGTTTTTAGTTTTTGTAGCAGCTGTAACCGGTTACAGGTTTTTTGTAACCGATTAGAGACAGTTAATTTATATTTTTAGCTTATGTTACTTATATCCCAATCCAACGTGAAATTATACAAATACCCAAGGGGTATCCTCATTAATAGTTAATGCAAATGCATATTCTCACCCTCAATTATACTCTCTCTAAGGCTCTGTTTGGTAAAAATAACGGTTAACTGATAAGTTAACTAATAGTTTATAGCTTATGGCTGATGTCTGATGACTGATAGCTTAATTTATAGTTGATGACTGATGACTTATAACCTATAAATTAATTGAAGTGTTTGGTAAAATTAACGATTCAACTAACTCATAAATTAAAATGACATGAAAGACATTTAATATATAATTATTTTACTATAAATTAAAATAAATCATAAAGGATAAAAACGAATTTTAGTTAAAATAATAAGTGTAAAAGTGAAAGAACAAACGATAAACTATAAGCTATAAGTTAAAATGCTATTTAAAATAACGTCTGAAAAATAAGCTATAAGCTAGTAAAATAAGTTATAAGCTCATGATAAAAAGATCTTTATCAAACAAATCTTTATTGTCATATGAACTTATAAGCTATAAGTTGTAAGTTATAAGATAAAAAATTATCATACCATAGAGTCTAATTTGCTCTCTCTTTTTTTCTCCACTCTCAATTTTATTTTATTTCACCAAACTTGTGATTCCAAATTCTAACACTATTAGCTTTTGTTTTACTATTTAGAAATCTTAAACTTATCTAATGTTGACTATACCAGAATGTTTTTTAGCATTAACTATGTTTTGGAAAAAAAATACACAAATAACTATGTTTCGGAGGAAATTACGTAAATAATCATGTTTCCAAAAAGAAAGTGAATTAAAGAGAAGGCGCCACTTGAATTGACGCCTCCTATATATTTTCAAACTTTTTCAATTATCTGCAGATTTTTCTATAGATTTGACATTACCTGCAGACTTACCTGCGGATTTTCCTACGGAATTACCTGCGAGTAAATAGTCTCAGGTAAATCCACAAATAAATCTGCAGGAAACTTCAAATCTGCAGGAAAATCCGTAAGTAAATAGGAAAAATTGGAAAAAAAATTAGGAAATGGCTAGACGCCATCTCACTTGGCACCTCCTTTAAAAAAATCAATGTGTGCGCCATCTGAGATGACTTTTGCATTATAACATTTTATAAAATATGATCATTTGCGTAAATTTATCCAAAACATGATTATTTATGCTTTTTTTTTTCAAAACATGATTATTCCTAAAAAAAAATTCACTATATCATGTAAAACAATATAAATTTATTTTTTAAAAGGTCAAAATTATTTATATGTAGTGCTGCTAGTGCACAGATAAAAAATCCACATAGAATCAAATGCGAATCGCGTTTGGATTTTAAAATCTGCTGTATCATAAATATAAGAATTTTCAAAAGAAACAATAGTAGAGAGGGTGAGAATAAAATACACTTATCTCAAGTTGTCCTTTGAAGCAACATTAAAATAATAAATCACGACTATAGAACAATTATTAGACTATAGTGCATATGAAACGGATAAGTCCAAAACCTGAATCCTCACACTACACTCATCCTCAAAAATGGTTCTACACATGGTGACTTTAGTGAGGCTTCATCTACAACTAACAAGACCTATAGCTGGATTCTCAACCAGCATCATTTTGCTGCTCAAGTTGTTGTTGGGTTTCAGATTCTTCAAAGATGAAGCACTTTATCAATCGAGGTTGTTTCTTTTTCGATTAGGTCAAATAGCTTTCAACAGTGAACATCAGGTTTCTAACGTAGCAAGAATGGAACGTGCTTTAAGGTTAATCTTTCCAAGACATGTTACTATTGTAACCAGTTCTAATTCAACTTCTTCACAATCAGATCGTGAGTTGGAAAATCAACAGGAGGAAATGTTTTACTCGCTTTCAATGATGGCTCTTTGATCGTGTGTGATTGGCTTACTTTGCTTGATTTATTTTTAGTTTTGGTGTAATCCTTAACTTAATTAATTTATAGTTTGTGCTTTCTTTTCTTTCCCTTTACTTGTTTTTTCCACCGTTGTTCAATGATCATTGAACTTGTGGTTATTGTATCTTGTCTTATCCATGTGTGTGGTTGTAGTGGTATTTGTTTTGATGCTTGTTTTGAATGATTTTGACCATTTTCACGAAATATTTATGAAACAAAAACTAGTAACTATTGAGATTCTAATTTATTGTGTCGAAGTTGGCTGTTCGACAGAAATAAGATAGTGTCAAAATTAGTTTAGTGTGTGTTGAAATATTGAAGAAGGTTGTTCGATAAGATTTCGACTTAAATATATTTTGGTAGTATTAACTTAATTAGGTATTTTGAACTTTTGTATTTTTAGATTATGGCTTAGGGAGCATGCAAATTTAAAACTATAAATATGGGGTAATCTCTATTATTGTAATATATTGAATACTTACCGTTGCAAATAAACTTCAGCTTGAAGTGTAGAGATTTTTTTTTTTTGCAGGAAACTCTTTTCTACTTCCCCTATTTTCATTAAGCCCTAATTCATCTTTTCTCAATTATATTTTCTTTTTTCTTCCATTAATAATTGATGTGCAAAATCATTTTGCAATCAAGGTTGGTTGAATCACTCAATTGAAGAGTGAAGAACAAGGGATTTCGATCGGTTTGATTGAATCTTGTTCATCAAGATTGATTCAAAATTCTCTATAATTTTGGTGTAATTCTCAACATCTGGTATCTAGAGCTCTGACTGAGCGGTTCAAGGCAAGCAAAACGTGATGGCAGTTAATCATTCGAATGGACATTTTTCGGCGAGTCTTTCGATTCTGAAGAGTCTGAATTATGAAAATTGGTGCAAGCAGATGAAGGTGATTTTCTGTTATCAAGATCTTTGAGATCTTGTGAAGGAAGGTGTATCATCGCTTACAGAAGAAGCGAAAGGTGAAGAAAAGGCGGTACACAAAGAATTGAAAAGGAAAGATTACAAAGCTCTCTTTTATAATTCATCGATGTGTTGATCTAGATAATTTCAAAAAGCTGAGTGATGTTGAATCAGCGAAAGAAACTTGGAAAATTCTGGAAAAAAATTGTTTAGAGGCGTAGAAAAGGTGAAAGAGGCGAGGTTACAAACTCACAAAATTGCTTTAGATGGGAGAAAGTGAAAGCATAACTAATTTCTTAACTAGGGTTATGAAACTAGTGAATCAAATCAAGATATATGGAGAAGTGTTGACATCGAGATCAGTTGTCATAAAGATCTTGAGGTCCTTTGCTCCAAAGTACGATCACATGGTGATAGCCATAGAAGAGTTGAAAGATTTGTCAATATTGACAAAAGAAGAGCTTCAAAGGATGCTTGGTTCTCATGAATAAAGAATGGATGAGAGAGTTGTAGGAAAGTAGAAGAGTGATATGGCTCTGCAAGCGCAATCAACAAGAGAAAAGAAAGAAAAAAGAAAGTGGTTCGACAATTGTTGTACCCCAAAATTTGCCCTCTCATTTTATCAAGATTTTTCCACACAAGACTTCTTGGACTCAAGATAGGATTAGGGTTTGCTCAGCTCAAGGCATTACCTTACACTGATAACCTGAAATTAGGGTTTGAGTTTGCACAAAGATTTTTGGACCATCAATGCTTCATGTGACTTTCATACACCATCTTGGACCCCTAAGATTGCTCATGACAAGTTTCAAGCCTTGAATCACATTTTTGCTCAGTCAATTGAGCAGTTGACCTAAAAATCGACTGTATTGGGGAAAAGTCAACCATGGCCAATTTACTGTCAAACTTCATAATTTTTTATCCACGTCAACATTTTAAACTCATATGTATCATTTGATCAAGTTTGGATTACAACTCCTCAAGAAATTTGATCAAATCATCAAAAGGGCAAAATGGTCAAAATTAGGGTTTTGACTGAGAAAAGGCAATTTCTGATTTTTAACCTAGCCAATAACCAATTTGGTTCAAGCATGATTTCAAGGATTCAATAGCATCATCTTGACCTAATCACATAGTTCAAAAGATCTCAAATGCATAGGATTGACAGATGAATTTTACAGTCAACTGATCAAAAGTCAATTGTACACTGAAAAGTCAAACTTTGACTTTTTGGTCAAAATCAAGTGCCAAGGGTCATAATTCATCAAGGTATGTCAAAATATGAAACTTGTTGATCAAGAAAACCAATTTTGAAAATTAGGGTTTTGAATTTGAAATTTTTCATAACTTAGAAAATTTCTAAGTATGGAAAATTTCTTATTTTTTCCCAACTTTCCACAACTTTTTCACCATGATGCAATTGGATTCAAAGGAAACTCCCAACATGAAATTTGTAGTCCTCCTTGAAATCTACAACTTTTATTCACAAAGTTTTCCGAAAAGATGCTTGGATCTCAAGTTATGAATTTGTGAATAGAGGTCCATAAACTTTTTAACTTAGTGAAATTTTGCCCTAATTTAGGCAGGATTTTGACCTAACTTCATGGACATTTTTCACCTAGTTTCAAGAGGTATCTCAAAATTAATTTCAAATATGGATTGTAGAGCATATTACAAGCTTTCCAAAATGTCCAAGAACTCTCCAATATCATTTATGGTTAGGGAGAATCGAAGAAGAGAAAATGGCAATTTGTCACTTTGTTCAAGCCATGTTTACAATGTTACAAGTTGCAAATAAGTTCCTAGCATGCTTGTACCTTTCATTACAGGTCCTAAATCACTTCTACACTCCATAATTAAATGCAAACTCAATGGATAATGGTTTTGTTTTGACTTTTGAAGCATTGCACAATGAATTAATCCAAAAATGGCATAAAGTTCACAATACTACTTTGATAAAGCAAGCCTTTTTGCAACTTTACATTTCTTGAGCCATGGACCTGATCTTTTGTTGCAAGAAAGATCCACAAACATCAGGCAAAGTATATCAACCCTCTGTAGTCCACAAGCTAGCCTGTACAGGCCTTTGGCATTGCCACTTTCAACTTTCTTCAAAAGCAAGCAAATTGGCAAAAGTCAAGATAACTTGTCCATCTGATAAAGATAAGGCTTGGCATCATTCTAAACATCTTCAGAAACTTGTCTCAAGAAAAAACACGAATTCACAACATTTGAAACTCTCCCAAACACCAAAAACACAAGTTTCTGCCCAAACAGGGCATCTTCTGTAGAACCCTTGCCAAATCAATATTGGCTCGTGTGTTTTTCATTTTAAGACTTCAAACACTTTACATATATCCTACCTAAACTATCCAGGCCTTTGTCTTGCAACTGTAACCCCTATTTCAAACATCACCATTTTCATTTTGGAAGATTGCATGTTGACTTCTACAAGGAGTTTCAGCCATCTATAAGGCCTGCTAAGCATTGGAAAAGCTTGAGGGAACTTCAAGGAAGCTCACACGATCTTCAGGCCTCACTCAAAGTCCCCACATTGCCATATCCAAACTCAGTTGAACAAGGTATTTTTCAAATCTCTATCTCCTTATTTAGGCATCCTTAGGTCACGATTTGTGAAGCAAAAATGTAGTCCTTAACTTGCTAAAGTTGTACATATGCATAGTTGTTATTTATATTAACTAAGTAGTTAGAATTTGAAGCTTGAAGTTCATGAAAAAACTAGGTCAGAAATTAGGGGTGATTAAATTCTCTCTGATCTTTGAGAGTTAGATTATGAATTTTATATCACTGGAATCGTGAGATCATAAGCTACAATTTTTGTGTTATGAGTTTTTGATTTTATACAAGCTAGAGCAAGATACATGATTGTACATAGAAACGCGCGCAGGAAGCCAAGGACAGGGATGAAGATGATGTTCTGGGCCTTAGCGCCTTTGGGCCTCTTGTTTTGACTATCCACACCCCCTGATCCACTATCCACACCCCCTGGCTTTATTTTATTTAGTTTCATATTTTCTTTTCATTTTTATATATTTTTTTTTTTTGAACCATAAAAAATCATGAAAAATATTTTCTTTATTTTTTACATTTTATTTTATTTTTTATATTATTTTTTTGGCATAAAAAATAGTTTATTAGTAATAATATACTTTATTTTCTTAAATAAATTATGAATATATTTGAATAAATATTATACATTTTTATTCTATTATTTTTCCCACATAAAATATTATTTTCACATATATTTTAATTTTTAATATTTATGAATAATTTTATTTATTTTTCTTGTACATAAATGGATAAAATAAATGATATAGAAAACATATTTTTCTTTTAAACCAAAAATTAGGGTTTCACCCTTAAAAAATAATATTATTATTTTCCTTATTTTTAGGACTTAAATAGTTTTATCATTTCATACATAAAACAATTACAAAAAACATTTTGCATTCATACATTTTATTGCATATTTAAATAATTGTTTATTTATTTATTGTACAAAATTCAATTGGGTTGTAATAATTTTTAGGGTTTTATTTTGAGCAATATCCCCCATTCAAAACTTGTATCCCCCCTCCCATAATATTGTTGTAATAGTTTAGATTTACTTTACGCAATTTATCGCATTATATACATGTTTAGTAAAATTAGGGTTTGTATGATAAGACAAAAATCAAACAAATAGCATGACCTAACACAAGACAAAATGCATGTAAAATGACAACACATTGCATACAAGCACCTCTAGGGTTTCACCCACTTTGTTGCCTAAAAATGGCCATGGTATGCATGCTAGGTATCTTGGCAAAATAATACAAAACAAAAGATCATAGTCCCTCGATGACGCTATCAAAAGGTTGCCTAAAAACAAAATGATCTTGGTCCCTCAAAACTTGCTAAAGATACTTGGAAATATTGCTATCATGGTCATACGATGACCCACGCCCGTCCCGTTTAACATCCAAAGATAGGGTTGTTTACCAAATCAATGGTAAATCAACAATGTCAAAGGAATAGAAATGTACAAGAAAGACTTTTGAG